TTTGCATTTAGTACTGGGTCTAGAGAGTCTACAGGGTCTCACTACACAGATTGGACTCATAGTGATCGTCCTGTTTTTCAGCCTCCCAAGCACTGGGATTACAGGCATGCATTAGCATTCCCAGTCTCAATCACTGTCTCAGTGTGGTCCAGGGGTGGGGCCGGCAGGGCAGGCTGGGGATCAGACCTCTGACCCCTGCGTCTGCCTAAGCAGACACTTTAATCCGCTGAGCTATCTGGCCAGCCTTCCTCCTATATTGTTATGGTTTTATTTATCTATTGGTAGTACTGGAAGTTGAACCCAGAACCTTCACACTGAGCTCTATCTCCAGCCCTTTTTTAGCTTCCTTTGAGACAGAATTTTGCTAAATTGCTCAATTGCCGAGGCTGGGCTTGCCATCCTCCTGTGTCAGCCTCCTGGAGTGCTGAGATTGCAGGTGTGCACCATCACCCTCAACGATAAATTGCATCTTTATATATATTGTGGACAAATCACTGTATATGTATAAATATTCTTTTGCACACTTTCTCTGCTCCCTCCAGCACTTGGTATGTTTATGGGGAAGGTGGATTACCATTTTCAAAGCTTCTGCCACAGGAAGGAGTGGGAAATGCCACAAGAGTAAGAAGTTACTGGGCTCACTTACAGAGATTCACCTCCCACTTTTGTATAAACTTTCTTAGTTGCTACAGACTTTGTCTATTTTGTCTTGGTTTTTCGCTTCTGTTGCACATTCACCCTAGCAGTGTATATTTTCTTGATAGTCATAGGGTATTTTTTTCTGAAGATCTTATTCTGTTCTTGATAGTTGCTGAATAAGATTTGCTTAAGTTTTTAAAAATATTTTTCTCTTTGAAAGTAAAATGATATTGTAAGGGTTGAGTCGCCGCGAAGGAAGACCCCAAGAATCGGTCTCTCATGTAAATCGCAAAGGGAAAGCTTTATTATCTACGTATACATAGGGCGGTCTGCACATGCAGGAGCAGAGTGCGCCTTCAGTGTAGCAGGCATATTTTTTAAAGGCAAAAACCACAAAATGGGGAGGGAGCAAGCAAGTTACAGAAGCAAATCACATTGGTTAGTGTAGGTTGACCTTTACAATAATTGGTGGATTACAATACCGGATGACCAGATGGAGTAAGTCTGGGGGTAGCTGGGGGGACTAACCTTGTGGTTGTCATGTTCCAGGAACATTTTAAAGAAATCGAGGCATTGTGACCTGGGACATCCTGTTGTTATGGCTTTCAATAGTTAGGCCTTGGGTTTGGGAATGTATGTCTCTTGTAAGAATTTAAACAAGGGGAGGGCCAAGGGCACCTTCTTGGCTGACTCAATGGTTTTAGTTGCTTTCCAAGTAACAGGACCCCATCTGAGGTTTTTATGTCCTCTTTGTTTTAGGAACATGGATTGCTTAAGCTCTAGGGCCGTAAACCAGTGAGTGGGTCCTTTTAATTGAAACACATTTTATCTATTTATTTCTTTTTTTTAAAATTTTATTTATTTATGTGTGTGTGTGTGTGTGTGTGTGTGTGTGTAGCCAGCTCAGCCCACCAGGGGGCGGGGCTGGCTGGCATGTGGTGCTGGGGGATTGAACCGTCGACCCCGTGCTTTGCCAAGCTTGTTCTAAGTAAGTGCTTTAGACCACTGAGCCATCTCACCAGCCCCAAAATTTTTTTTTCTTTCTTTTTTTTTTTCAGAACCGGGGATTGAACTCAGACCCTTGTGCTTGCCAGGGAAGTACTTATTCCACTGAGCCATCTCCCCGACCCCTATCTATTTATTTCTATATGTGATCTTAAAATTATTTGGGCTTTACAATATTCAAAATTTAGACTAGTTGGATATCACAAGATTAAACATGTTTTGGACTTACCATCATCGTGTCATCGCTGCTACGGTGCTTTTCTGTTCTGTTTCCTGCTTCCTGAGTTTCAGGGCCTTTTCAGTTTCCTTTGTCTTTGCTTCCTACAAATCAGCCAGGGATCGCCATTCCGTTCTGTCACAGACCATTCAGTGTAGTTGTACTTTCTCTGTAGAACCATGAGATATCTATGTATAAAAATTAACACATTCAACTGGAGGCTTAGGCAGTTTATCTTTTTGGGCTTCATGGGGATCGTGTGGTGCTTGCAGAACTGCTCTCTCCCGATCCCCTCTTCACACAATTCCTTTGCTATTCAAGTCAGCGCTCCCTGACTTCATTCCATGCGGGTTTGGTCATAGCAGATAAGCCACATGCAGACACCACCATTATCCTGATGACCTCTTTTTTGGGTGGATCAGTGATTATATATTCGATGGCACATCAGCTTTCCATCTCAGTGACAAAAGTGCTTGAAGAAAACAATGTAAAGGAGGAAAGATTTATTCTGACTCCCGGTCTCAAAGGCTGCAGTCCATGCAGTCAGCTGGCCCCGTTACTTTCTCACTGTGCTGGGTCGAGCAGCGAGTCAGCAGGGAACGGGAGTGGCGGAAAGCTGCTCGCCTCATGGCAGCTGAGAAGCGGAGAGAGAGAGAGAACAGCCCAGCAAAGGGCCAGGGCCCAGATGCAATCCTCAAAGTCTCATCCCCGTGATTGCACGCTCAACTAGAGCTCAGCTCCTGTTTTCATGACCTCCCAGACTCCCCATCCAGTCTAGGTCTCATCCTTGGGTCACTGGAGTCCAGTCACCTTCCAAAGCCCCACTTCTGAACCCAGGAGACCTTGGGCGATGCCTTCACTCTAAGCTCTAACAGATGGCCTCTTCTTCACTTTGCATTTCTTCATAGGTATCAACTGTTAGAAACATGATTCTCTTGAAATGTAGAATTAGGTAGCTAGTTGGCATTTACTTATGAATTTTCTGTTGTTATTAAAACTAAAGATTCAGTTTCAAACTGCTGCTTATGTGTGTTTGGTGAGATGTTCAAGCCAGTTTTGGAAGCTTAGGAATGGTGTCGGCATCTCATAGTGGCGAATGGCATGGCTGTGCGTGTAAGGTTCTGGTTACATTGTAGGGTTGTGGCTTTTTTTTTTTTTTTTTTTTTGGTAGAACCAGGAATAGAACTCAGGCCCTTGTGCTTGCCAGGCAAGCACTTATTCTACTGAGCTAGTAAAGCCTGGTGCCCATCTAACAGTGAAGAAAATTTTTGTTGATGGTATTAAAGTGGAGGTTTTTTTTTTTTTTTTTTTTTAACAGAGATTGAACTCCAGACCTTGCACTTCCCAGGCAGGTGCTAGGTTTGAGGGTTCTGAAAGAAATGATTCTCATGTTTATTGCTAGTTTACTCCTAACTTTTGTGACCTGTATGCTCCCTACTGCACTTTTTCTGATGTCCTATACTTTCATAAGCATTTAAAAGCTTCCCTTTTATCTGTATGTCACTGCTCTAGTTCCAATTCTTTTTACCTAAGTCAGGACTATTTTAAGAAGTGTTAAATCAACCCTTCCAGTGTGCCACCACCTCCTCTGCCAGTGACTTCCTTTCTGAGAGATCCACAGCCCCCACACAGTTCCTTTCGCCTGCCGAGTGGTGTCGCCCGGCTCCAGCCCCAGCTTGGCTTCACCTTCCTTTGCTAGTTTTCCTCTTTTTGCCCCCTACGTATGTTCTGATGAAGCCGTGCTGCCAGGGCTCCCCAAAGCGTGGGATTCGCTTTCCAGGCTTCCTGCACCTCATGAGCGCGGCTTGCTCCCCATCTGAACCTTCTCCTACCCTCATCTCCGCCTCCCCAAGCTACCTGCCTCTCAGGAATCAGCTCAGATCCCCGCCTGTCTGTAATGTGGTTCAACCAACTCTAATCTCTTCTTAAATTGTTGTAACATTTTGGTTCTGTTGACACGATGTCTGTCATCTATTGCTTGCCTTATGCTGCCTTGCATTCCTGTTTCCATCCCTTCCTTCATTCTTTCAATAAATATTCAATATTTAGTCCTCTTTAGAGGACTAGAGTAGTAAAGGAAGCAGTCATTGTCCCCTGATGTCAGGGAAGACATCAAACAAGTAAGTGCTAGATAATAATTATTAAGAAACCAAAAAAATCTCACCACAATTCTATGAGGGGGAAAAGAATGAGTCCACGCTTTCCAGGTAAAGAGTGGAAGGAGGGGCGGGGGATTGGCTCAGCCATAGAACGCTTGCTTGGCAAGCTGGAAGCCCTGGGTTCAGTCCTCGGCACCCAAAACAAAAATAAATAAATAAATAAATCTCTCCTAAAACAAAACAGCAAACTAAAAGTTGGGGGAGATCCTAGTGGGCACAGGCAACAAGTCAGAGCGTGCTGAGACAGCCTGCAGGTCGTACCTTCTTTACCAGGGACAAACTTTTCTGTTTGCCCAGTGCTTTATGCCTGTCACATAAAAAGACTAAGATTATGTGAACAAACATCAAGGACCGGGGTAGAGCTGACAAGAAAATGAATCCCAACACAAGGAGGGAGAAGAATGAATTGTCAGAGACTACGATCACTTCAATTCCTTTTTATTTCATTAAAATAGTAGCTGTTGCTGTGTATATGCTTATAATCCTAGCAACTTGGGAGGCTGAGGCAGGAGGACCTCAAGTTTGATGGAGGCCAGCCTGGGCATTAGTTAAACCGTGTCTCAGAATTTAAAAAGTGTGTGTGTGGGGGGGGGGAGTGCCGGGCCTGTAACTCAGTGATGGGGTATTGCTGAGCATGCATGAGGTCTTGGGGTGCAATCCTCAGTACTAAAAAATGTTTTAGTAGTTAACCTTTGGGGGCTGGTGAGATGGCTCAGTGGTCTAAAGCACCTACTTAGAACAAGCTTAGCAAAGCACAGGGACCGCGGTTCACTCCCCCAGCACCACATGCCAGCCAGCCCCGCCCCCTGGTGGGCTGAGCTGGCCACACACACACACACACACACACACACACACACACACACACAAATAAAATAAAAACCATTTAGGATTAAGGCTTTATTCTAGAGTAGAAACCGCTACGAGCTTCCTGAGCGCCGCCGCTGTACTGACACGCTGTGTTCTTGCGCTTCCTCCGCCAGTCTCTTGAAGCAGTGCCCGGACGTGGAGCTGTCCTTCCCGCGACAGCCGCAGGGCTCCCACCTCTTCGGCGGTACAAAGAGGGGAACGCTGTTTCTCACTTCATACCGGGTAATTTCCCTTCTTTTTCTCTTTTGCCGCTTTCCTCCGCCTTCCTTTTCCTTGAAACCCAAGAGAAGTTCAGCGACTTGCCAAGCAGCGTGATCCATTTGCACTTTGAGGTTTTTCCACGCTGAAGGGGCGGGCGGAGGCGGGGCGCCCGCAGTGCAGCCCCAGCCTCGCTGCAGAAGCCCCAATCCCGGGCCCCTCCTCCTTCCTTTGCCCTCTTTCTCCGCTTAGGTGATTTTCGTGACAGCGCACGCAGTCAGTGACCCCATGCTGTCGTTCATGATGCCTTTTGACCTGATGAAGAACTGCACGGTGGAGCAACCAGTGTTCGGGGCGAACTACATCCTGGGGACCGTCGAGGCAGCCCCGGAGGGTGAGCGCCGGCCCGCGCTCCGAGCGGCTCCCGCGCCCCGCACCCCGCGGGCTCGGGCTGCGCGCTGGCGGCTCTGCAGGGTTCCCTCCGCTGGCGGCCGGCGCCCCCTCTGAGCGCGCGCGCGCTGTTTCTCCCCGCAGGTGGCTGGGAAGGACAGGCGACTTTTAAGTTAGTCTTCAGGAAAGGCGGTGCGGTCCACTTCGCCCAGCTGATGATGGAAGCCGCCTCTGCCGGTGAGCGGGCCGTGAGATACGAAGCCCATTGGGGTTCTGAGGGTTGGAAGGGGACCGGAGCCGAGCGGGCGCTGGACTGGGTCGGCGGGCCTCTGCTCCTGCGCTTGGGTCTGCACCGTGCTCGCACGCAGCTCCCGAGGCCCTGCCGGGCCCCACGGGGACATTCCGCCTCTCGGTGTCCTGAGGGAGCCTGCAGCGCGCCGGGAGACCCAGTCCACCCTGAGCGAATACTCCTGCCCCCCGGGAAGCTGGTCCTCTCCCTGCAGCCCGGCTGGCCGCAGGGAGCCCTGCTGCCTTAGCTCTTCCTGCTGCGGCATAGCGCTCCATCTTTTCTCCCCTCTGGATGCCTGTACTTCTCTCAGGTTGTCTGGATCTTCCATGAGAGGGAGTAGAGGCATTTATCCCCCTCCACACCGATCTCACAGATGTGCCAGAGAACTCTTCCACCATCTCCCCGGCTCTCCTCTTTCAAACTTTGACTAGAAGTAACCCTTTAAGATGTACTTTTATTTTATTTAATTTAGCTTCACTTCATGCTCTTTGCAAGCTTATCTTTTTTTTTTTTTCTTTTTCTTTGAGACAGGGTCTTGGTCTGTAGTACAGGCTGGCCTCCAACTCACAGCCATCGCCCTGCCTCGGCCCTCCAGGGCTGGGCTCACAGGAGTGTGCCAGCACACCCAGCACGCATGCCTTTTTCATACCCTACACTCGCCAGAGTTCTTTGAGTCTTATTCTCTCTCATCTCTGACCCTTGAGCTATTTGCTCTGTCCGGACTGCTTTTGCTTTTCTCTTGCCTTCTACTCCCTGCTCAGTCCAACTGAGAGGAACGGTGTGGTAGTGCGGTGCGGTAGAGACAGCGCCACAGCCGCGCAGCCCACCTCCTGGCGTGGGCTGTCATAGGGGCGTGGGCATAATACGGGGCCATGAAGGGCAGCATGAAGTTTCTAGCTTAGAAGACAGACTAGATCCTAATGCTATAAACCATGGTCAAGA